CCCCAAAACCCCAAAACCCCAAAACCCCAAAACCCCAAAACCCCGAGGTGAGATAGAGAGATTGACGTGTTTTAGAAAGGGATTTTGGAAATTGGATTTTAGAAATGGGGTTTTAGGTGGGGTTGAATGGAAGGGTTTCTGGTTTGTTACGGGGGTTTAGCTTGTATACTCTGATTTCTTCGTGATTTTGAGGGGGTTGGGATGGACGGGGTAGTTGGGAAGGAGGTGTTGGGAGGGAAGGAGGGCGAAGAGTGCTGATGATGTTTTGGGAAGCGATACGGCGGGATTCGATTATTGATTTGAAGATTTTCATTTGTCTCTCTCTTTCGGTTTCTTCTTCAGTCTTCTTCCTTCATTTCTTCTTTCATCTTTTTACTATGTTGATAATCTTTAAAGGGAAGATTGTGCACCAGTTTAGAATGAAGAATATTCCTATCATGCCAATACAAACGAAACCATACAGAGTCAGATTGCCAGAATCACCAGGACTCATAAAGTTGAATAAAATTACTCAATACATAACCAGAAAAACTTCATTGACTGCATTCAAGAAGTTGTTGACTTGCAATTTGTAAGGCTTGTAGATGATCTGGTACTTAGCTATCCAGTAAAACAACAGAATTAGGCACACCAGTTGAACTCTAGCAAAGTTCTGAAGTCCGATCACAACCAAAGCAATCATGATCCTTCTCAAAGTAAAGTAAGAGTAGAACAGCACTCATTTTTTATGATGAGTGTTGAACTCCAAAAACAAGAAACAATGCCTCTCAAGGTGATCAGGATGGGTCTTGATTTTATCAAAGTTTTTGATCGGCCAGATTGTGGCGTAGATAAATACAATTATCAATAGAATGAATAATATTACTGCAAGGACAAATGAAAGAATCTCAAAAATACTGTCAACCCGCCCGTAGAATATGTTGATAGATATCGAAATTGTTAGATTCATAGATAGCTCAATAATGAACCTAGAGGAAGATTCATATCTTAAAGAACGATCAATCTTGATAATTTTCTTGGCAATCCAGTTCTTCTTAGTTTTTACACATTTGAATAACAAATACACTACTAGAATCATTATTCCCATCATGAATATCATGAAGATTTTATCAAGAGAGTTCACAATAATATTAGATGATCCAAATCCGAGAGAAGAAAAGTCTTCATTGATAGGAGATGAGATTATGTTGATGCTCCCGACAGATACTTCAGATAGCCACTGAGTTATAGGGTTATCAAAGTTTGAGTACTTCATGTAAGAGTACACTGCTTTCAAGTTTGATGGGTAGTGAAGCCTGAGCAATCCAAGAATAAACAGTATTTGGAGAGTGTTAGCTAGACTCCACATTAGCTCCATTGAAGACCCAGTGACTACACTGATACCAAGAGAAAATCCAAAAGTCAGCAAGAACATAAAAGTAGCTCCGGAGCCAGCTGACTCTGTTGTGGCTGAGGCAGGCATAACATCAAATTCATATTTGAACTCCATTGTGTTAGAGAGAGCAATTTTATTTTCTGTGGAAAATGCACTAACATCTTGGAATGTTACAGTCAAAGTTTCCCCATTTCCACCTAATATCACAGGAGTCATAGTATATTTAATCTTGAGTTGAGTCTTTGAAGCAAAAGATGTAGTCCAAGCCACCTCATGATCTGAAATGGGTGAGGATACTATAAGTGATACTTCCTCCCCAGTAAAGTTGTACTGAATCATCGAGTCATTAAAAGTATAGATCAGCTCAGAAGAGGCAACTTGATGAGTATTCTTAGAAACTATAGCAGGAAAATATTTAGAAACTCATATATCTCTAGAAAAAGTTGGGTTATAGGTTCAGACGAAGTTAGATTCAATCTGTCAAGAGTTGTCACATCCATCATAATCCATTGAGTTCATATCGTCACAGGTTTCGTCAGTATCATGTATTCCATTACCACAAAATGGGAAACATCGACTAATTTCCCCATCAAGTCCAAAACAACTATTACCAGGCTCAATTGCTCATTCACTATCTCAACCGTCACCGCTACTAGAATTCCCATCGTCACATTCTTCATCTTCACTTTCTTCTTTGATTCCATTGCCTCAGGGGATTACTACTTCCTCGGTTCAGGTGCTAATTCCCAAATGAGAAGCATTTCAGGTAAAGTCTTGCTCGACTCGGCACAACTCTGATCAGCCATCTCCATTGATTGTGTTGCCATCATCGCATCCATATACTTGAGGGTCTGTATGCATGATTCCGTCTCCTCAGAGCTCGTATCAGTATCGTCCGTGATTGTAGAAGCCATCAGCTCAGGAATATGTATCTACACCACTGATGATCTCTTTTCTCCAGCAGTACTCTTTTGGCTCAAGGTAGAGCTCTATGGGGCATTTTAGATTTGATAAGTTTAGAGAGGGAATTTAGCTGACTTACGTCATGAATCAAAGCTTGTGGCTGAAGGATAATCAGAATTGTTCGCTTGAAAGTTCCATTTTACTGCATCTTCGCCATCTCCAGTCCATATTGGCAACTGTGTATAAATAGCCGAGTGGCTTAGAGCCCATCTGTATACTTTCAAATTTGCAAAAAAATGAAAAGTTGATGAAATTCTGATAAAAATTTCATTTTCATTTATATCAAATTGGTTGTTTTCTCTCAAATGACTATAAATTTTTATGATTTCTTAATAAAATTTCATAAAGAAAGAATGGGATTTATACACTTACATTCTTCAGTTTGACTTCCAGTAGTACCTGGCCCGTACAAAACCTTGAGGAATATACAGGCGAATTGATGGGTAGTATTGATTCGAGACAATACAAGATATATTTTTGACCATCCTAAAGAGTCCAGTTTCACATTTGTAACATCTACATTAGCTCCGGTGATCTTTGACCAAACTTGGCTAGTCGAGAAATAAGGTATTTTCAGATCGCCATCAATGTCTAAATCTCAAACAAACTTCACTTACCATGAATCGATACTACTAATGGACATACTCCCAAATATCAGTACGCATCGATTTCGATAGTGAGCTGGGTCGAATTATTCAGAGGGATTTTGTCACTGTTGTAGTATGAAGGAGTCGCGGAATAAGTTATCCATCCCAAATTGGTAAGAGCTGCTGGATCAGTATAATTTCTTTCATCCCTTCTAATGTATATTGAAGTATCTGCTCCATCTGAATCAATTCCTTTGCTATAACCAAAGCTCAGTCTATTTAAACCTCTTGATAAATTTAGTGAGGATAACAACCTGGGGAAATATTTTAATGTAAATCTAGATAAAACCAAATGTTTGAGCTCTTATCACTAAGTTCTAACAGTTTGAGTTTAGCGTAAATATGATAGAATACTACAAGGGATTTCTTCAGACCAAATTTTAACATACAGATTTTATAGTCGTAAGATTATGTGGATATTGGATTTATCTGCTTATTTTGAAAGAATAAGATTATAACTCCACTTTTTTGAATATTTTGCCTGTTTTTTATAAGTGCAAGTCAACACTAAAGAACAGTGCAGTTAGATAAAATAATATCTGAATATTGGTTAATTTTAGATCAAATTTTTTCAAAGTTTGATAATTGAATGAATTAACGATAGGGACTGAAACCATTTTTTTCCTGTAAATTGTGGACACTAAAAAGTTTTAATAGAATTTGTTTGAAAAGTTTGTAAAAATTATGAAGGATGATAAATGTTCGTTTTCAGAGAAATGTAAGAGAAAGCATTAGGATGCTCCATCACGAGCAGATAAACTAGTAGCTAGCTTTCAAGTAAATCGTAATGCTCCAAAACAAACTTTATCAATAATTTTTCTTTAGGAGAAATAGAAAGAAGCACATTTAGAAGCCATAAAGTTTAAATTTTCTGCCAAAATTGAAAATTCCAAACCTTCAGTGTTTTATGAAGCTGCAGTGGAAATTATATTAATTTGTGTGGAAAAATGAGTTTTGCATATTGGTTCGATTATTATTTAGGAAGGGTAAGTAACCTAAAATGACATACCTAACCACTTCGTTGTCAATAAACTCATTCCTTGACCTGTCTTCCAATTTGAAATGCACTATAGTTATTAATTTTCTCGATTTATTAAATGAATCATGAAAAATATTTTTGACTTTGAATTCGTACACAAAGGCACATGGTAGGTATTTATCATCCAATTTCTTTCATCAGAGGAGCAAAGTGTCATGGTATCTGCAAATCAAAACTTGTATAGAAGCCCTGTTAAATGATACTCATAAGTTGAACCGCTAAAAGTATATCTTCCTATTGTAGGATAAATAGAAAATTTTATATCTGAACCGATATGGCCAGACACCATATTCTCACATTGCCTCAATCCGTCATTGTCATAGTATCAAAAGACTATTCCTCCGCTGTAATCAGGCTCATAGCCAGTATAATTATATCCATTGAATTGTACGTTGTAGAATTGCCACCCTCCAGGACCAGACCCAGCACTAACATTCAGCTTTGAATGGGCTAAGTTTAAAGTTGAATTCTTTCAACTAAAATGAAAATATATGTTTCCACCACTTCCTGTTGATTGTGCACGAGCTCAACAAATGAGAATTTGTTCAGGATCGCTGTTTGCCCATAAATGTGCCTTAAAAGGTAATCAAAACAGCTGGTGCTTATGTAGACGATCGAAAACATAAGCCCATACACTAACTGATGTTAGATAATCAGTATTTGAGCCATCCCTTGGAAGTGATCCCGTGAAGCCTATACAAATCAGTTTACTCAAACGACCAAATGCTTCCACTATTAATGAAATTAGTTTAGCAAACAATCTCACTTGCAGAGTGTCCTTTGTGGACTCTGATGAAATGCCCATCGCTGTCAAACATCGTCGGTTCAGAAAGAGTCAGATTGGCTGAACTAACATTGAAGTACACATCTCCGTTGCCATGCAAGAGCTCATTCTGAAAAACCAAATCTTCTTGGAGAGCGCTGATCGTTCTCAAAAGTCCGTACATCACAAGAGTCAGTGCGACCCATTTAGTCTTGCATTGCTTCCGAACTCTTGTTGTCATGCATCCTCTGTCTTGATCTTGGCCATCTGTTTCATCTCTAAAAAGAACATTCAAAAGCCAAAATTTTGAGAGATTGCCCTCCTTTGCTAATTTTAGGCTAAATCTTTGGCAAAACCTTTAGTGTCTTCGGTTCTAAGTTTGAGGTAGGAATTCTAAATTCTCACCTGTAAAAAGTTCTTCTAAAAATTTGTGCTGGAGGTCTCATTATTTATTATATTTTTCTTATTATCAGCTTTATTTTGGCTTATTGGGGTTTTGGGGTTTTGGGGTTTTGGGGTTTTGGGG